GTATCATTTTAGTGTAATTTATATGTAGTTCTCTTTAGGTCAGTCCTTTTCTCAAATTCTGTTTAGGAAATCTGTATCAATGCTAATTCCATAAAATATATGGAAATGAATACAGTTTTATGTATAATTTGATGTGTCAAGATTTTTGATAATGGATATCCAATTGGTCTAGCATCATTTGTTATAAAAATGTCCTTTCCGCATTGGACTGCAGTACAATCATTGTCATAAGTCAAATTATAGAACTTTTGGGAGTTTGTTTCTGTGCTTCTGATTCTGTTCTGTTGAATACTGAACTAATGCTCAGTGGTTTTAACAATTCTACCTATATTGTAAGTCTTGATATTTGGTACCATAAATCCTCTAATTTTGTTATTCCTGTTTAAGTTATGTTAGTTACTCCGACCCTAAAATTCCAATGAATTTTAGAGTCTGTATGCCAATGACAATAAATGAATAAAAATAAACAAGCAAATAGGCAAACTACCTTTTCATTAGAGGGACATCAAATGTTTGGATTCACATGTGCAGAACTTTGCATATTAAGTGAAGCTCTGTTCATATTGAGTCTTCCAAAGAAGATTTTTTTTTTTTTGGGAGGCTTTCTTTAATTCATGTTCATTGTGTTTTATAGTTGTCTACTTATATGATCTGCACGTTTGTTAGAAGTATCACAGGTACTTAATGTTTTATGGTATATTTTAAATAGTTTAAAATTTCACTTTCTGTTTACTATTACTATACAGAAATACAATTAACATTTTTGCTGACTTTATATTAGGTTTGTGCTAAATGTATAATTTCAATTTATTTAGATTGTATATTGTTTGATATTTTCTAAATATTTTCAGTTCTTACTTTCAAATCACTGTAATTTCATTTTTTTTTTCCATGCTTTATTTTTCTGGCTGGGACTCTCATGCAATGCTGGATAGAAATGGTAGGAGGAGACATTTGTGTTTCAGTCCAGACCTCAGAAGAAACATTTTTAATAATTTATAATTGTTATCCATACTATGGTAGTTTTTTTGTTGTTGTTGCTTTTGTTCAATAATCCTTACAAGATTAAGAGAGTCTCCTTCGCCTCCTAGCTTGTCAATATATTTATAGTTGCTAGCTGTTGACTTTCTCATATGCATTTTTGGCATCACTGAGATGATGTTAAATTTTGCTTTTTTATTTATTTAATGAGAAAATTTATATCAAGTGATTACCAAGTGTTTAAAAAAATAAAAATAAATGCTTTTAGAAATAAGCTCATATGATTATGATTTGGCATCCTCTTTATATGTTGGTAAATTCAATTTACTATTATTGTTTTTTATTTTAAAATCATTTTCATGAGGATAACTGGTTTATAGCTTCCGGTTTTCCTACCTTGTCATGTCTTTATCATATTATCGTGTTCAGAGATTTTTTTTGTTTCATAAAAGAAGTTGAAAACGTCTCCCCAACTTTTTTTGTTGTAATTTCTGTAGAGCGGTATGAAAAAGAATGTTGTTATTTCCTTCTTAAACATTTGGACGAACTCACTACTAAAGCCATCTGGTCCTGCAGATTTCTTTGTGGGAAGATTTTAATATAGTTTTAAGATCTTGAATAAATGTAGAATTGTTCAGATTTTTCTATTTCTTTTTGTGCTTGTAATAGTATGTTTTTTTCCAGGAATTTGTCTATTTTATCTCTAAATTCATAATTATTTGGCTTGATATCCTCTAATTTTTTAAATGTCTGCAAAAATTGTAGGTTTTTTAGTAGTCTACTTTTAAATCATAAATATTATCTTGTGTTTCATCTCTTTAATAAAAATCAATCAACCCTAGCAACATTGATAAAGTTTTCAAAGGATCAACTTTTTACCTCAGTGATGTATGTTATCTTCTGATTTTAGTATTCTGTTTATTAACTAGCATTTAGATAATATCTGTCTTTTAAATCAAATGCCTATTCTAGTTGTATCACTGGCATAGTACACATTATAAACATTTTAATGTTTACTTTTCATCCCAACTACTCTTGTTGTTCTCTCCTTTCTTACTAACCAAACATTTTTTTAAAATTATGCCACAACAAGCTTGTGTTTGTAATTTATTTTCTTACTTTCAGTGTTATTACTAATCATTGAATATACACCTTTGATTTACTAACGACTAACATAAACCATTACTTTAACTTCATCCTTCTATCGTAGACATTATATTCCTATGCCTTCTATGAAATAATTCTCATAAAGCACTACATCAGAAAAACAAAGATCAAAAACAATGATTCCATGGCTCTGGAAATCAACCAGAGGAAGACTCAAATTGAGAAGCACTATTTTTGAAAGAATGACTAGATTTTTCAGTAAGGCCACATGTTAGGCCAAAGAAAAGTCTTAAGAATGGTGAGTGTCAGAGGTGCTGCCATGCCCAGCTCCATCGATTATAGATGTAAATTTGTCTAGGATAAGATGTGTTGTTAGATATGCTAAACTATTTGAGTTGGGAAAGTAAACCCATGACTTTCCAAAGTAGAATTCAGGAGTCATCTGATGGTATAAAATTCACTGGTAAAAGAAAGTACACAGACAAACACAGAGTATTGTAACACTGCAATTGTGGTGTGGACACTACTCATATCTTGAGTAGAAAGACGAAATAATGAACATATTAAAAATAATTTCTCAAGACCTAGACAATATAGGATACAAAAAGAACACAAATTTAAACAGCCAGAGGAATGAAGTTAAAATGTAGAACTTTAATTAATTCTCTCTTTGCCTCTTAGTTTATTTGTTTTTGTGATCAGTGTTGTCATCAGTTTAAAATAATGGATTCTAAGATGTTATTTGCAAGCCTCATAGTAACCTAAAATTTAAAACCTACAACAGTAGCTGAAAAAAATAAAAAGCAGTAAATGAAAACATACTACCAGAGAAATCCACCTTCATAGAAAGGAAGACAAGATAGGAAAGAAGAAAGGGAGAGAAGACCTCAGAACAGCCAGAAAGTACATAATAAAAAAATAAGTTTTATTGACAAATAACATTTATGTAGCAATAATAACATTGAATGTAAATGGATTAAACTCTCTGATCAAAAGATACAGAGTGGATGAATGTATTAAAAAAATACAAAACCCAATTATATGTCGTCTACAAGAAACACATTTCACCTATAAATATACACAAGTAGTCAGAAAATAAAGGGATGAAACAAAATATTCCATGCAAATAGAAACAGAAAAAACAGGAGTAGCTATACTTATAACAAAATTGCCTTCAAGAGAAAAATTATAAAAAGAAATCAAGAAGGTCATTATATAATGATAAAGGGGTCAACTGAGATAGAGGATATCACAATTATAAATATATATGCACCATATATTTTTGTTTTGTTAATAAAACAAAAAGTTGTTTTTTGAAAAGCTAAACAAACTGGCAAACCTTTAGCCAGACTAGTATAAAAAGAAAGAAGACTCAATTAAAGAAAATCAGAGGTTAATAAATGCACATTATTACTGGTACTGCAGAAAGTTAAAGGGGCATTGGGAAATACAATTAACAACTATATGCCAATAAATTGGAAAACCTAAATAAATGAATAAATTGCTAGACACATACAACCTACCAAGATTGAATCATGAAGAACTCCACAGTCTGAATAAACCAATAACATGTAAAGAGATAAAATCCATAAGTCTCCAGCAAAGAAAAGTCTGAGATCCAGTGGCTTAATTGCTGAAGTCTACCACATATTTAAAGAACTAATAGCAATCCTACTCAAATAATTTCTTTTTTTATTTTTATTTTTTTCCTAATAATTTCAAAAAGTAAAGGAGGAGGAAATACTTCCAAACTCATGCTATGAGCCTATGCTATTAACCTGATCCGCAAACCAAAAAAGACATATCAAGAAAACTGCAGACCATATTCCTGATGAATACTGATGCAAAAATCCTCAACAAAATACCAGCAAACTGACTTCAACATTGCATTAAAAAGACGATTCATCATGACTGAGTGGGATTTATTCCAGTGATGCAAGAATGGTTCAGCATATGCAAATCAATCTATGCAATACATTATATCAAACTTATGATGGTCAAAAGTCATAAAATCATTTCAGTTGATGCTGAAAAAGCATTTGATAAAATCCAACATCCCTTCATGATAAAAACACTCAAAAATGGTAGAAGGAAGACACTTAAACACAATAAAAGCCATATATGACAGATCCACAGCTAGTATTATAATGAAAGGGAAAATTAAAACCTTTTCTCTAAAATCTGGAATAAAACAAGGATACCAACTTTCACCATTGTTATTCAACATAGTATTGGAAGTCCTAGGTAGAGCGATCAGTCAAGAGAAAGAAAGAAAGTGCATCTGAATTAAAATGAAAGTAATCACATTTTTTTTGGCAGATGGTATGATATTATATTTGGAAAAATGTAAAGATTTCACCAAAAAAAAACCCTATTAGAACTGATAAACAAATACAGTAGATTTGCAGGATACAAAATAGCCATGTAAAAATCGGTAGCATTTCTGTATCCCAAAAGCAAATAATCTGAAAAAACAAATCAAATGTATCCCATTTATGACAGCTAAAAATAAAATAAGATACCTAGGAATTAACCCCAAAACTGAAAAATCTCTACAATAAAAACTATAAAACATTCATGCAAGAAATTAAAGAGGACACAAAAATTGAATGATATTTCATGTTTATGCATTGGAAGAATCAATATTGTTAAAATGTCAATACTACTCAGAGAAGTCTACAGATTTAACACAATTCCAGTCAAAATATCAATGACATCTTTCACAGAAGTAGAAAAAAAAAATCCAAACATTTATATGAAACCATAAAGACCTATACTATCCAAAGCCATCCTGACCAAAAAGAATTACATTACCTGACTTCAAATTATACTACAGAGTATAATAACCAAAACAGCGTGGTATTGGCATAAAATCAGACACATGGACCCATGGAACAGAATAGAGAGCCTAGAATTTCCCCTCATCAATTCCACATGCCTTCCAGATCTACTTGAATAGTTTGTACACAGCTCCTTGTGAACAGCAGACATCTGATCAAGCAACTCTCCTCTTGTATGCATTGCTCCATCAAAATAGTAGTATTAGAACATACATGTTGGCTTGCACAGATGGAAAATCTTGTTTTACCAATTCTTGAGATTCTGTATCATGTTGAAGAAAGGAATTCTCACCATGTGTATATGGCCGTTATAATACTGTTGATCCTTACAGAAGATGATGGCTTCAACAGATCCATTCATGAAGTGATACTAAAGAATATTACTTGGTATTCAGAACGAGTTTTAACTGAAATCTCCCTTGGGAGTCTCCTGATCCTGGTGGTAATAAGAACCATTCAGTACAACATGACTAGGACAAGCGACAAGTACCTTCACACAAATCGTTTGGCAGCTTTAGCAAATATGTCAGCACAGTTTTGTTCTCCCCATCAGTATGCTGCCCAGAGGATCATCAGTTTATTTTCTTTGCTGTCTCAAAAACACAACAAATTTCTGGAACAAGCCACACAGTCCTTCAGAGGTTCGCTGAGTTCTAACGATGTTCCTCTACCAGATTATGCACAAGACCTAAATGTCATTGAAGAAGTGATTCGAATGATTTTAGAGATCATCAACTCCTGCCTGACAAATTCCCTTCACCACAACCCAAACTTGGTTTATGCCCTGCTGTACAAACACGGTCTCTTTGAACAATTTCGAACTCATCCTTCATTTCAGGATATAACGCAAAATACTGATCTGGTGATCACCTTCTTTAGCTCAAGGTTGCTACAAGCTAGAGCTGAGCTGTCAGTGGAACGGGTCCTGGAAATAATTAAGCAAGGTGTCGTTGCACTGCCCAAAGACAGACTGAAGAAATATCCAGAACTGAAATTCAAATATATGGAGGAGAAGCCTGAGGCGTTTATTATCCCCTATGTCTGGTCTCTTGTCTACAACTCAGCAGTCGGCTTGTACCGGAACCCTCAGGCCATCCAGCTGTTCACCATGGATTCCGACTGAAGGCAGGACGCTCTGCGGCCCGACCCCTCCAGCCAAGCAGCCCTTCACGTCAGTTCATTTCTGGGTAACAGAAGCAGACAGACAGATTGCCTGCGGTACCTTCTGTTAAAGAGGATGGCACAAGTGTGTTTTCCTCAGACACTTTGATTTGGAGAACTGGTGCCAGTTGGCAGTAGATCACTCAGCGTAGATAGTAGTGCAAAAAGGGGAGGAAATACACAATAATAAATGTAAAAACCTGCTATTCAAAAAAAAAATCTATAAACCCATATACCTACAATGAACTCATTTTTGACAAACGCGCCAAAGACACACTGGGGGAAAGGAGAGTCTCTTCAATAAACGGTGTTAGGAAAACCAGATACTAACTTGCAAAAGGATAAAACTAGACCCTTATCTCTCTCCATATAAAAAATCAAATCAAAATGGATTAAAAACTTAAATGTAGGACCTCAAACTATGAAAGCACTAAAATAAAAGCTTGGGGAAGCTCTCAGTCCACTGGTATGGACAAAGATTTCTTTTTCTTTGAGATACACTTTTGCTCCGTCACCCAGTCTAGAGTGCAGAGGCACAATCTCAGCTCACTGCAATCTCCACCTCCCAGGCTCAAGTGATTCTCCTGCCTCAGCCACCCAAGTAGCTGGGATTATAGGCACAGGCCACCACACCTGGCTAATTTTTTTATTTTTAGTAGAGATGGGGTTTTGGCATGTTGTCCAGGCTGGGCTCCTGGTGGTTTGCCTACCCCAGCCTTTCAAAGTGATGTGATCACAGGCCGTCATGCTTGGCAAAGATTTCTTGAGTAATATCCCAAAAGCACAGATAATCAAAGCAAAAATGGACAATTGGGATCACATCAAATTCAAAATCTTCTGCATAGCAAAGGAAACAATTGACAAAGTGAAGAGATCACCTACAGAATGGAAGGAAATACGTACAAACGACCCATCTAATAAGAAAACAATAACCTGCACATATAAGCAGCTTAAACGACTCAGTAGGAAAATATTTAATCATCTTATATAAAAACAGGCAAAAAGTCTGAATGGACATTGCTCAAAAGAAGACATTCAAATGGCAAACAGGTATATAAAAAGGTGGTCAACGTCTCTGATCATTAGAGAAATGTAAATCAAAACTACAATAATATATCATCTTCTCCCAGTAAACATTGCTTTTATTCAAAAGAAAGGCAATATCGAATGCTGGCGAGGACATGGAGAAAAAGGGAACCCTTGTACACTGTTGCTGGGGATGTAAATTGGTGCAGCCTTTCTGGAGCTTCCTTAAAAACTATAGATTGAACTACCACAAGATCCAACAATTCTAATACTGGGTATTGGCGGGAACTCTCAGCCAGCAAGAGGATTCAAAACCTGAGTGGGGGGTGCGCAGGAAAAATAGGAGACAGAAAAGCGGGGTCAGGAGGTCTGGGGAGTGAGTGCTCCACCAGCAACTTTATTTCTCAAAGGCTTCGATTATATACATTTTTCAGACTCTGGTTTACGTCAGTGTAAGAGAAAAACAGATCACTAATTCACACACTCTATACAATAAGGATGGCAGAGACACACAATCAGTGGTTGTAAACGGTGATAGTCATTCCTGGTGCTCATAAAAAACATGTACATCGAGACATTGTTCCTTGTGACTGCAGGATTTTCTGGTTCCGATCATCTGGTTATCTTTTAACAGGATTCTCCTTTTTTCTGTTCCTGACTCAACTTTATGTCAACTTCCCTCTATCAGGCGTCCCTGTGTCTGAGCTCGACCACCGTCTTGTGAAACTTGCTTTGCAAGTATTCACATGGTTGGGTTCCCAACAGGGTATTTATCCAAAGGAAATGAAATCAGAATGTTGAAGAGATACCTGCATTCCCAAGTTCGTTGCAGCACTATTCACAATAGCCAAGATTTGGAAACAACCTAAGTATCCATCAACAGATGAATAGACAAAGAAAATATGGCACATATAGACAATGGGGTACTATTCAGCTATTTAAAAAATTAGCTCCAGTCATTTGCAAGAATATAGAGGAAATTGTGTGAAGTAAAACATGCCGGGCATAGAAAGACACACTTTGCATGTTCTCACTCATTTGTGGGATCTAAAACTTAAGACAATTGAACTGATGGAGATAGAGAGAGAGGATGATGGCTACCAGAAGCTGGGAAGGGTAATGAGGGGTGGGAGGAGTGGGAAAAGTTAATGGGCACAAAAACATAATTATATTGTAGAAAAAAGATTTAGTATTTGATAGCACAACAGGGTGATTACAGTAAATAATTTATTATAATTTAAAAATAGCTAAAAGAATATAACTGGAAGATTTTAACACAAAGAAATGAAAAATGCCTGATGTGATGGATACCCCTTTACCCTAATGTGATTTTTACTTATTGTATGCCTGTGTCAAAATACCTAATGTGCTTCATACATATATGCATCTATTATATACCCATAAAATAAAAAATATGAAATAATTTTTAAAGGGGAGGAGAAACAGAACGGGGAAAAATACATATTCAAATGCTGACTGGAAAGTCACATATCTGAATAAAAAGCAATTGCATATCTTGAAGGTCAATGAGCCCCAAATAAAACTAACAAAAAGAGTGTTCAATCTAGATACAGCGTAGTCTAATTGCTGAAAGATAAGGAAAAAATTACTAAAAATGGCAAGATAAAAATTATTGTGACCTAAAGATAGACAGAAGTAAGAGTAACAGCTGACTTTTCATCAGAAGCAGTGGGGACCAGACAGCGTCCTGATGACTTGCTCAAGACACTAACATTTGGCAAGAATTCTAAGTCCACTGAAATTAGCCTTCTAAAATAATGGTAAATAAAAGAAATTTCAGGGCCCACAAACATTAAGAGAATCCATTGCCAGTGTAGCTATTCTAGAAAAACTATGTATGGAAATTCCTCCTATGGGAAGAAAAAGGACTCTAAATGGTAAAACAATTTCACAGGAAGAAACGAAGAACACCAGAAATACTAAATAGCTGCAACATCTGCATTAAAAAATACTTTTTTTACTCTTTTTTTGAAATACAAGATTATTTAACACAACAATTAAAAGAGTGTATTTTATATTTTGACATTTGACAAATGTCACATATATGAAAATAGCATGAAATAAGGGGGAGGTGTAGATCCTTACTGAAACAACGTTGCTCTATTTCACCACAATATAAACCACTTTTAACTTGTAGATTTTTTGTACTTATTTTAAATTTATTTATATATTTATTTAAAATACTTTTTTAGAATAGTTTTAAATTTATGTCTAAAGTGCTTTGAAGGTAGAGAGATTTCCCACATACCTGCTGTGCCCACATACACAGCCTCCCTGGTTATCAACATTCCCTACCAAAGACGCCCATTTATTTTTATTTTTTGCAATTGATGAATCTACAACGACACTTCTTTATCACCCAAAATCCACAGTTTACATTAGGGCTCACTCATGGTGTTGGACATTCTGTGGGTTTTGACACATTTATAATTGCATGTATCCACCATTATAGTATAATACAGTGTATTTGCACTGCCCTAAAAATTCTCTGTACTCCATCTATTTATCTCTCCCTGCCCCCAGCCCCCGGCAACCAGTGAAGCTTTTCACGTCTTTACAGTTTTGCCTTTCTCAGATGGTCATAGAGTTGGAATTACACAGCATGTAGCCTCTTCACTATTTTAGAGTTAATAATGAGGAGGACAATTACTGGATTATATGGCAAGAGTATGACTAGTCTTGTTAGACACCACCAAAATATCTTCTAAAGTGGCTCTAATGTTTCTCATTCCCACTGGCAATTAATGAAAGTTCCTATTATTCCACAACCTTGTCAGCATTTGAGCATTTTGTGTTGTAAGTGTTCAAGGTTTTGGTCATTCCAATATGTGTATGGTGGCATCTCATCATTGTTTTAATTTGTATTTTCCTCCTATTATGTAAATCATATTTTCATTTGTACATTTTCTTTGATGAAGTGTCTGTTCAGATCTTTTGCCCATGTTTTAATCAGGTTTGTTTTATTGTTGTTGAGTTTTAAACATGCTTCCTGTATTTCAGATAACAGTTTTGTCAGATATATCTTTTGAAAATATTTTCTCACAGTCTCTGGCTTTTTCTTTTCTTGAAGTTCTCTTTCACGGAGAAGAAGTTTTAATTTTAACAAAGTCTAGCTTATTGATTTTTTCTTACATGCATCCTGCCTTTTTGTTATACTTAAAAACTATTACGAATCCTAAGGTTATCTTGGTTTTCTACTATGTTTTTGTCTAGGGATTTTTAAAGTTTCACATTTTATATTTAGGTCTATAGTTTGACTTAATTTTTGTGAAGGGTGTGAGGTGTGTAGACTCACTCTTTCATATGTGGATGTCCAGCTATTCTAGCACCATTTATTGAAAATATGATTTTTTTCTCTATTGTATGTCCTTGGTCCTCTGTCAAAGATCAGTTGACTATATTTATGTGGTTTTCTTTCTGAGCTCTCTACTCCATCCATTGATCTATTTGTGTAAGTCCATTCTGTCACCCTAACTGAACTATCCTGATTACTATAGCTTTACAACATGTCATAAAGTTGGGCTGCGTAATTCCCCAGCTTTGTTCTCCTACAATATTGTGTTGGTTATCCTCAGTCTTTTGCCTCTCCATACAGACTTTAAAATCAGGTTGTCTTGCCAATACCACAAAATAACTCACTGATATTTTGACTAGGATTGCCTTGAATCTGCAGATGAAGTAGAGAAGAGCTGACATCTTGTCAATATTGACCATGGTAGATTTTGATAACTTATACATTGATATTGCAATTCCTAGAGCAACCACTAAAGCGTGTAAGAAAGTGACATGACTAAAGGAAGCCACTAAGGATTAAAGTGATACTAAAACATATCTGTACAACACATAAAATACCAATAAAGGAAGAAGAGAAGAACAAACATGACTTAAGGTATGCAATTCAAATAGCAAAACTGTGGGCATAATTCCCAGATCAGTAGATATATCAAATATTAATAAATAGAACACCCCACAGAAGATGCAAAGGCTATGGAACAAATTAAAAATAAATATCCTACTACATATTTCCTTTGAGAGACAACTTTCGCATTCAAAGATGTGAATAGGTCAAAATAAAGAAATTTAAAAATGCATACTTTTTACAAACTGTAAACATGAGAAGATGATTTGTTTGTAAGTTTTTATTTGAATTTACCCAGCC